TTCGCTGTTAGCTGCGTGAATACAGATTTCAACGAGTGGGGGGGGAGAGTCCTAGGAATCGTGAGGTCTGAGGTGGACACACACTGTCGAGCATTCATCACATCGGGGCGTCAGTGCCGGCTTTTATGGGGGAGGCAGACACACACTATAAAGAGTGTGTCATCAGTGCAAGAAGTAAACAGAGACAAACAGGTGCAACACCATCAGAACAGAAAAGAACATTCCAGATAAAGCATGACATCTCCGACATGAGCATGTAGTACATATACATAACAATACAAACATGTGAATGACTAAATGACTGCCACAGCTACCTGTTTTCTTAAATACCACCTCATGAACTCTATACATGTTAAATCAATGACAACCATTCTGAAAACCCAGTAAGCGATTGGCCCAAGTTCACACTGTCCTCATGTCAACGTGAACAAACAGGAGTCCATTTCCATCAACTAATGAATGGATGGATGACACTGTTACACTTAACACTTGCTTCCTATCTCTGTGGCCCAGTGCCACTGGGAAAACAGCAGCCTAATTTAAACACAAGTACTGCTACTAACAACCACAATGACCGGCATTTACAGTCACGCACCATATGGCAGCTAATGTGTCATATGCCGCATATTTACCCAAAGTAAACTGCAGGAAAGACTGAGTATTCAAACATCTCACACTGCATAATATGCAAAACCCTTTAATATTACTAACATTAAAACACCGACCTTCTGCAAGCCTAAGCCTAGAACTTAGAGTACAAAGATAATACATTAACTAGGGCAAAAGGTGCTGCGGGAGTGTGGCAGATACGTGATGCTCAGACTAGAGCTCACTGCTTCTCAGAGGACAGCCACCCACGGCTTCATATGCACCTGCATCTCCTACAGCCATTCTACCCTGCACCATATATCTATGCCAATGCAGGGATATCAGTGTCATTTAAACATGGGGCCATGGGTCAGGGATAGAGATGGGGGGTAAATACAGCTGGTACTGCTTTGATTTGTGGTGCAAAATATATTCCTGTGTCCTGTACTGTGCTGTTATTTGTTTTATTGTCCTTCCATGCACCGGTCCCATCCCCTGTAATTAAAAGGTGAAATGGTTTTGCCTTGTGACTGCAGATGGGGGCGGGGCGGGGGAGGGTGATTAGGTTTGACAGTTGCCCTCCTGACATCTACCACTGACATGTTTGTATCTCTCTTCACCTATAACCTACATTTCTTGATGAAAATAACGGTGTTACTGTGTTCATAGGGGATGCGGGGCGTGTGTGTACACAAGTGTCTCAAAAAGTAACTGCAGACGGTGGGGGGAGCTGAGGGGAGCCGTGGGTAATGTCCTACCGGTGAGAAGAAATAAAGCCTGTGCAGTCCTAGCGCACTTGCATGCTCGCAGCCTGACATACATCCTCCCCCTCCCGACGTCCCGCCGCCAGCCCCCCTGGCCACTGTGATCGTGGTATGTGGGACAACTAAACGATAGCTACCTTCAATGCGATGCTTATCGGCGTGTTCCTGCCTTTTCCTCCTCCTCCGTGCGAAGACCCCGAGCTGTTGCTCCCGGACCTCTCCCGTCCATCCCCACCCTGGGCCGCCCTCGGCCCGAACCTGTGCTGCGCCGCGCCGCGCCGTCTCCCGTCACCGCGGCCGTCTTTCGACATCGAATGCCGGGTTTATTTCGAAAAAAAAAATCCAAACTATCCTCCAACTCGACGCAATATAAGGGCGGGTCGCAAAACAGACCGGCTACATTTGTCAAGACTGGCAGCGACGATCGGCGTGACCCGCAAGGTAGCAGGAAGTGTCTGCTTCGCAACCGTGACAAACATGTCCGGCAGCTAATAAGATGCCGCCGTTACTTTGCAACCTTGACAAACATCTGTCGTGGCCAATAAAGACGCCCGTTTTTGGTCGAAAGGCGGGCAACAATCACGAAATAGCCAATGGACGAACAGAAGAACGCGCGCGAGGGGTGTGGTCCGGCAACACTGGCGACCGGGATCTGTCTGGAAACCACATTATGTATGATGGTTTGTTTGTTTAGGGATGTAGGGATACCCCAGTGTGCACTGCGAAGTGTGTTTGTTTAGGGGTGCCTCTGTAATCTGCGGGGGGCTGCATTTGAAGAACAAATGTAAAGCCGTACATGGAGAGGGTTAAAGATCATAGTTACGTTATGCCTTAGCGCCCATTTACTTGGCTATAATCTCCTATTCAGACGCGCATTAAGTTACCTGTTAACTGACTATTTATATTAACTGTACATGTACGTGTGAAATATTTGCTTACAACAGTTGCAACCAAACGAAGCTAGTTTTCCTCTGCATCGAGTATGCTTGTATCATTGGTGGGCAATTAATATCTTTACCCCTTTACTAAAAAATACTCACCTTTTCTGAATAGCCAAATTGTAATTTCAAGTCCATAAAGTATTGTACTTCTGTTTGTTTGTTTGTTTGTTTGTTTGTTTGTTTGTTTGATGATTGATTGATTGGTTTCGCTGCTGTTGTAACACTATATTCATGCATGTGACAAATAAAAATCTTGAATCTTACGGACTCAATGTAATAATAATTTCAGTTAGCTGTGCAGGATTGGAAAGCTGAATCTATTCTGAAATTTAAGCATGAAAAAGTTTTAAGGGTGCTCCTATATACTCCTGGCTATTACTAATAGTTTCCACTAAGGGGCAGTATTGTTCAAAATTTTAATATAGCTTTTGGGATTATTTGTTATTGTAGTACGTTGCGTATCAAGGTGTCCCGTCTAGCCATTTATTTGGGAATGTCATTAAATTGAATACATTTAAATGAAACCAACATTTCTTCACCTTTGTGTTTTTTATTTACTAGTTACAAAAAATAAGGCATCTAGCCTACGTCTTCTGTACTATGCTTTCCCTTTTTAATATATCGTAATTAATATTTAAAATATATTGTTGTGACTGATTTGTGTCGGTGATCAGGTATGTCACTAGGATAGCAATAAGCCAAACCTGGCTCTGTAAAAAGTACAAAATGTAGCTCGGCTTTTCTGGCATTAATCTATACTCTACAGGGTTTGGTGGTCAGAGTTGTATAGAAATCTTTAATTAATTTTTGATTGTCAGCAGCCATAATCTGGTACGCACGCGTTACCGATCTTATCTTGCATTCAAACAGCAACTGGAACTTAAAGAGGCTCTATGCAGCTCGTGACGCGACTCTTCTTCCTCATTTAATCGAAAACTGGGCGCCGCTCCCATGCCGCTTAACTCTGGCATTCATTTTCATTGTATTTTTTTTTTCAAAAGCAATTTCCCTGATTTCAAGCAACATTTCTTTTAAATAAAAAACATTTTCAAAATACAGTATTTCCAGTCAAATTTCTATCAGCATGACAACCTTATGGTTTAAAGATGCTTTTTGGGTAAGTTGTGAAACGTCTTCACTTATTGTACGAAAACTTGCTCCATGTATTATGTGATTAAAAGTTATTTATTTTGCTTTGTATGGGGTCACCAGCCAAGAGTTTTGTTAAAAAATTAAATTCTGTTTATTATTATTCACAGTTTAGTGATGCGTATTTTTGATGCGTACTGCAATATTCTCTGGGCTTCTGAAAATAATTAACTGTACCACCGTCATCCGGATAGTGTTTTGCAAAAGGGTAGATTTATGTAATATGTATAGTCCGTCATGTAATAAGTACAGCACACAAGTCAGCTGCAGTGTTTACATTTGTAAGAAATGGAAAATTGTATGTTAGGAAAATATACACTTTGCATGAAACCTCAGTCATTTTGGCATAGTTAACTATGAGGAACCAATACCTATGGTTTTAAGTGAGTGTGAGTGACGGCAATGTCTGAATTGAGCTATTTTAGCAAAAGGCAGAACTCAAAATAAACTCGTTTATTCTGTCGTCCGTATCTATATAAAACTGCTATTTAATTACATTTTTGCAAAAGTGTATTAATAATCTTTCATGAGGTATATGGGAAAACCTGTAAAAAGAAATAGTCAACAATTGCCTCTAACACTAACGTTATTCGGTACATGCAACCCGAATCATTATAATAAAGAGGAAATACTTCATTCATGGTCAACTAATGGGTCTTACTTGGCAATAAGTTTTCACGGTTGATTAGAGTAAAAAACATGCCCATTTATGTACGATTTACAACAAGAAACACATTTTGTCCTCGTGACATTATTATGTTGGCAAATGGACAATAAAAACGAAAAGGGTCATTTAATGAAGTATGAATTTATTAAGTGTGCTTTCAGCGTGGTGTAATCTTCTGCCGAGAGCTTCCTGTAATGCTATTTTGGCCGTGTGACAACCATGTTAAATGTTTTGTACGTCTTTGATCTTTTGACTATGGTGCATTGCGCGGCCGCGACAGAAGGTTTCTGGGTTGATTTGCATTGAAGGCACTGTACAGCAGTCTTCCTGTACCTCTGCACACGTGAAAACTGCAAATTGCGGGGAAACTTCCACTATACGCACTTATTACATAAAACAGAACGTGTTTACGATGCTTATTTAAATTAATTTGCTGTGGTTTAAACTAAACTCTAAGGATATATAGAGCTACATTTTGTTGGTCATCGCAGATCATATAATGGTTACACAAGCCATTAAACTGAGCCAATATATAACCATCTATTAGATTTACTAACTGGTGGATGGTGTAAGACAAGGTAGGTTAGGACACTCTACCTGTGATGGGAAGGTTGCTGGTTCAAATCCCAGGGCCAGCAGAGTGATGTCATTGGGCCCCTGAGCAAGCCCTTTAATGTGCAACTGCTCCAAGGACTGTCTGACTCTGCTTTCTCAAAATGTGCATCATTTTGGATAAAAGGATCTACTAAATAAGTAAAATGAGGTTGAGGTAATGCCTCACATTCACTCCAAATCTGGTGTTCTGTCCAACTATGATGTATATATCTGTTTATCCATCTGGTACAAGGTGATTAAATATGAATTACTTTACAGGATACAGGTCTTTGAAAGATACAGCATATTTTAAGTGGACTTACAGATGTTACAAGTGCTTTGTTGCATCAGTTTGTTGCATCATTGACAGTAAACATTAATGCTTTTATGTAAGTTCTATATACCCATAGAATACGATTGTGTGTATATGCTGCCCTGGGTGTCCCTTGTCTTGTGCTCACTGTGCCTGAGATAGGCTCCAGGGTAAGTGGTTGGACGATGATGGATGGATGGATGGATCCTACGTATGTAGTTATTGCTGAGACACAGCTGACATGATTTTCTCCAGGGGGCAGATTTCAATGATCACATTGGATATGAAGTGCTGATGCAGAGACTCTGCGAGGGCCGGCGTACGTGCAAGGATGTGGAAGAGCTCCTCAAACTAAGGTAAGGTCCCTCTGATCGCCGGCTGGCCCCACGAGCGCATTTGGAAAGCATCGTAAGCACAGCTGCATGTCTGTGGGTCCACCTACACAGAGCTCTGGCAGAGGAGAAGTATGGGAAGGAGCTGGTGATGATCGCTCGCAAGTGCGGGGGCCAGATGGAGATCAGGTACATCACACGTGTCGGTACCTGTACAGGAAAAGGACCCCCTTAAATGCTCAGAGGACGACAGTTCCACATTTAAGTTTGTTTATGAATGTTTCACCGATCTCAAGGCAATAGACACATGACTGTGGCTGTCAAGATCGAAATATAGCATGCGGTGATCAGGGAGGAAAGAAAGCTAGAGTGTGTCCGTCATGCCTGAACAAGGCTCCCAAATTACCCACTTATCTAATGAGTGTCTTGCACACGCCAAAGGTTTTTAGGTGCAGCTGATATAGCCCACAGCGTGCTGAGGTTCCAAACCCTAAGACTGCAACTTAAACACAAATAAAATTAAATCTGTATGCACGTACATTTCAGCAGCAATGATGTCAAACATCGATAATAATAAATATCTCTTTCTGTCTCTGAAACAGCACGCTGCGAGCTTCCATTGATCAGCTCAAAGCAGGTAAGCCGATACTGGGCCTGTTTTTATCGAGGAACCTTTCCGTCGTGCTCCATCGCGACATGCAGCCCCTCCCCTAACGGTGAACCTATACTTCCAGAAATGGAAAACACGGGGAATTTACACATCCAGCTGTCGGCGATGCTGAAGGAAGAAGTGAAGGGGATAGAGATTTTCCGGGAGCAGCAGAAAGAGAAAAGAAAGAAGGTGAACATGGAGACATTGAGATTGAATGGGTTTCTATCATATATTTGATACACACGCAACTCTCACTCTGCGTATCCAGCATCGATGCAGCCCTCCATTACATTCCGTTTACTGGAATGTTCTCCTGTCTTTTGCAGTTTGAAGGAATAATGGAGAAAATTCATAAAAATAAGGTGATCTTGTACAAGAAAACCATGGAGGTGAGTCATGAGAACATGAATGGACGTGGGGGGGGGGGGTGTATGATGGCTATAAAGCCAACTAGCCAGTAGCATGTGCTGCTTGACTCATGAGTGGAACAGCCACCTAAAATAGAAAGTAACATGCAGCAAGCATTTCAGTATCTAACGTTCTTCTGCTTTCTGTTTGTCTTTAGAGAGCTTGTTGTTAGTAACTTGGCACAAATACTATGATTGGTTGAGGACTGACATAATACGGCTTTACAGCTATACATTGCTCATGCAAGACCGTCCTCCAGCTGTTTATCCTGAGCAGAGAGAGGGGGATTGTACAATGTCACCTGCGTCACATCACTGCTATTCTCTCAGATATACTGGTGAAGTATAGGGACAAATTGACAAATTAGCTATAAATGAATGATATGTTCACAGATGAATGTTCTGTGCTTGTGCTTACGTGCATCAATCTGTCCAAAGACAGCCCTCAGAGTGACAAATAGATATTTTAAAATGTGAGTGATTAATATATATATATATATATACACACACATACACTATATGGACAGCAGTATTGGAACTTTTATAACATCCCATTCTAAATCCATAGGCATCAATATGGAGTTGGTCACACTTTTGCAGCTATAACAGCTGCCACTCTTCTGGGAAGGCTTTCCACAAGTTTATGGTGTGTATCTGTCAGAATTTTTGCCCATTCATCCAGAAGAGTATTAGTGAGGTCAGGCACTGATGTTGGATGTGAAGGCCTGGCTCACAGTCTCTGTTTTAGTGGAGGAGGGATTCACTGTAACTAAGGCGCCAAGCCCAGCCCCGGAAAATAACCCCATACCATTATCCCTCCTCCACCAAACTTTACAGTTGGCACAATGCAGTCAGGCAGGTAATGTTCTCCTGGCACCTGCCAAACCCAGACTCATCCATCAGACTGCCAGACAGAGAAGCGTGACTCATCACTGCACAGAACACATTTCCACTGCTCCAGCAGTGTGCTTTACAACACTCCATCCTATACTTGGCATTGCTCTTGGTGATGTGAGGCTTGCATGCAGCTGCTCAGCCATGGAAGCCCATTCCATGAAGCTCCCAGTGCATAGTTTTGTGCTGGAGTTAATGCAGAGGAAGTTTGCAACTCTGCAGTTGAGTCAACAGAGCGTTGGTGACTTTTATGCACTATATACCTCAGCTCTCTGTGACCCCGTTCTATACTTTACGTGGTCCCCACTCAGATATTGGTCTGAGTTTCAGTTGTTCCTTAACACTTACACTTTGCAGTAATACCACTTGAAGTCGACCACCATCATAATAATACCACGATTGCATTCACTAAGCTCTTCAGAATAACCCATTTTTTCACAGACGTTTGTAAACCTGACATATGAAAAGGGAAAAGGAAAAAAAAATCTAGAATAGGGACAGCCTCATCTTTCAACCTTAGGGCGTTTGATGCACCTAATATATACACTTCCATTCAAAAGTTTGGGGTCACTTAGAATTCCCTTGTTTCCCATGAAAACATACATGAAATGAGTTTTAATAGGAAATATAGCTAAATAAATAGGAAATAGTCATAGACAAAGTTATAAATAATCATTTTTGAAATTAAAATAATAATTGTGTTCTTCAAAATTGGTTTCGTCAAAGAGTCCTCCTTTTACAGCCTTGTAGATCTTGGCCATTCTAGATGTCTGATGAGATTTCACCCACTGCTTCCTGAAGCATCTTCCACAAGTTGGATTGGCTCGATGAGCACTCCTTACATACCATTCGGTCAAGCTGCTCCCATCACAGCTCAGTAGAGTTGACATCCAGTGACTGTGCTGCCTCTCCATTATACACAGAATACCAGCTGGCTGCTTCTTCCTTAAATAGTTCTTACATCATTTGGAGCTGTTTTTGGGTTATTGTTCTGTTGGCTGAAATTGGCTCCAATCAGGCACCGTCCACAGGGTATGGCATGGCCTTGCAAAATGGAGTGACAGCCTTCCTTCTCCAAGATCTCTTTTATCCTGTACAAACCTCCCACTTTACTGTCACCAAAGCAGCCCCAGACCATCACATTGCCTCCACCATGCTTGACAGACGTCATCAAGCACTCCTCCAGCGTCTTATCATTTGATCTGCATTTTACAAACATTCTTCTTTGTGATCTGGACACCTCAACCTCAGATTCATCTATTCATAGCACTTTTTCCCAATCGTCTTCTGTCCATGTTCGTGTTCATTTGTCCACCTCAGCCTCTTTTTTTTGGCCATTCTGAGACTCTGCGGCTTTTTCTTTGCATGCCGGAGTTTCCTCTTCGCTGTTGATGTTGAGACTGGTCTTTTGCAGATACTATCTAATGAAGCTGCCACTTAAAGACCTGCGAAGCGTCTGTTTCTCAAACTACACACTGTAATATATGTATCCTCTCGCTCAGTTGTGCCCCGAAGTCTCCCTCTCCTCTTCCTATTGTGGTTAGAGCCAGTGCTGCTCTGTGAAGGGAGCAGTACACAGCATTGTACTGTACGAGATATTTCTGGCAATTCCTCACATGAAATAGATTTAATTTTTTAGAACAAGAATAGAGTGACAAGTTTCAGATGAAAGTTTTTTTGTTTCTGACCATTTTCAGTTCGAACCCACAATTGCTGATGCTTCAGATACTCATTTAGTCCAAAGGAGGCCAGTTTTATTGCTTCTTCAATCAGCACAGCCATTTTCATTTGTGTTAACATAATTGCAGAAGGGTTTTCTAATGATCAATTAGTCTTTTAAACACCAATATAGATATTCCATTAAAAAACAGCCGTTTCCGGCTATGATAGTCATTTACAACATTAACAATGTTTGCACAGTATCTCTGATCAATCTGATGTCACAGCACTATTTTTCAACTGGTTGATCACGACTTAAATACCAAATAATGGCCACATGTCTACAGCTTCCACTTGTGGAATAAGTGAGAAAATCACACGTGGAAAGGAGAACAAACCATCATCCAACCACGGCTAGTTCACGCTGGATGACAAACAGAGGCAGAAAGGGCAGCCCTTCACCTCAGCCCTGCACCGCTTACCCAAGAAACCTTCTGGAATATTCTCCGCATCAATGACATCCACTTCCCGTCGAGTTTACACACACTAAGATTTCCCTGTACTTACTTGTTGTGTTAGGACCTGGATTATGCTTGATAATGATCTACCTGTGAACGGTGCCATTTTAGGAGCAAACTCTCTTCTCGGATGATTGGCGGAGCTGACGGGGTCAGCCTGAGGTCACACCTAAAGCTGTTTTGAGACACTGTCAGAATTACTAAAAAATGTTACATTTGTGAGGCACCGGAAATGTTATTACCTACAGCTGACAGTATAAGTAAAACCAAAATTATAATTTAAAATTTAAAAATAAATTTCACAGTTGGGCATTACAAAAAATTACATTCTTATACATTTTTCTGTAAGTATAGAAATGGTTGAGCATCCAGATTTGATAGCCCTTAGCGGATGGTTTCTATTCATTAATCTCTCAGGCCTCTAGATTTTCCCGCTGCAGCAGCATGTTCAGATGCAGTGAAACGCGCGTCCAGCTAGATGCATTCTGCTTCCTGACAAAGACACATCTCTGAAGCCCTCTGATTCCCCTGCAGTCCAAAAAGATCTACGAGCAACGGTGCCGGGAAGCAGATGAGGCTGAACAAACCGTGGAGCGGGTGGAAGGCACGTCCAGCGCCACCAGCAGGCAGACGGAAAAGGCAGGTCCCTTACGGCCGCTGGGGTCGGCGACATGGGTCCCGTTTCTTAAAGAATTCAATACTGACGGTGGAAATGTTTGATTGGCCCTTAAATATCACCTTACACAGAAAGTAAAACCAATTTCTGTTTTCTTTTTTTTATTTTTAAATCAACTTAGACAATTATTTCAAACAGATATTTTCCTAGTAAGTATTATCATAACAAGCAGGTTAGTAATCTATGTCCAAAAAGTCCCTTAACCCAACTGCCCCAGCGAGGCCGATTCACCTCGAGCTTTCCTCACTTCCATGTCACTTTGGACAAAAGCATCTGGCCAATAACTGTAACTTTGGCGTTGAAGGTTTCCGAAGCTTTGCACTTTATGACATTTTGTTTTCCCCAAAGCAGAAGCGAGTTGTTTTTGTTCCCAGTCTTTATTTCATTATGACATTTTCTGCGTGAATGTTCCCTTCCTGTGATGAATCAGGTGCACAGCAAGGCCCGACAGTGCAAGGAAGTGGCCGCAGAAGCAGGTGAGACGCCGCAGCATGTGACAAGCTGAACTCCTGTCCTTGAAAGCAGGATATGTGTCTGTCCATTCGTTTAGGTGTGTGGGCATCTTGTCTGTGGCTCACCAAAGGGCAGGGTTTGGTTTCAAGATTTGGGTTTGGAGTCACTCATTTTTCGAAAGCAGAGACAACAGATTTCTGACTAGCTACATCACGAAACCCGAGGTGGAAATTTCAGGTCCAGAAAGTACAGATTTTGTTTCAACTAACCAGTTGAGTATGAAGAGTCACAGTCACAGAGTACTCAACTGGCTGATTGAAACAAAATCTTGGTCTGGGCTTTTACTTTCTGGACCTGAACTTTCCGCCTCTGCATGAAACGGTGCTCTTCTCCTCTCACGTGTCGGTCAAACAAATGGATGCATTGAGGTTTGGTTCACCACCGAGATCAGCACTGAACCTCAGAGCACAGTCTGCAAATTGGCTAATGGCGTGAAGAATATCCTTTTATTTTTCTCTAGAGAAGCAATACGTGTCCAACGTCACCCAACTGGAGAAGGTCCGGCAGGATTGGGAGAGCACACACGCGAGCACATGCGAGGTAGCTCTGCCCCCCGGCCCGCTGCTTCCTGTCTGCTATGGTCGCACTTGGCCCACTTGTGATGCATGTTGTAGTAAGATGATGCTCATCCAGGAGAAAGGTCACAGATTTTAAAGAACTCAAAGACAACAGCAGATATTTTGACATGGTTTATCTGCAAATGTTCACATTATGAGATTATTTTCAAATGAATACATGAAATAATAAAAATACAAATGATAGCATAATGGTTGAAGTATTTATCACTTGCAGGACCACAGATGTAAAGATATCTGAGGCTCCTTTTTAAGGGCTAGATTCTCGCTGGTATCCTGCTCTGTTGGTTCCAGTGATGAGGATCACTGCGGATCACTGGGCTGTTTGGTTTGCAGGTCTTCCAGCAGCAGGAGGTGGACCGAATTAGCTTCCTGAGGAACGCCATGTGGGTGCACTGCAACCATTTCTCAATGCAGTGCGTCAAAGACGACGAGGTCAGTGGCAGCGTCATGTGACTCTGCGGGTCGGGGCTCTGTGCCCGTGAATGGATGAGTAGTTAAATAGGTCAATAACTAAACCACAGACACTGTAATATAACAACTATGTTTTGTTTTGTAATTAATATTTGTAATTAATAGAGCTCATGTAATTATGAGAAAATTTTAGGGAAAAAACCTTGCACGCCTGCATATTGTTTTGAAGGACACTAGTAAATATATAGGGAACTGTGACTGTATCCAACTTAAGGCTGTTTTTACAGTATTATGAGGAAGTTAGGAAGACTCTGGAACAGTGTGATACCACCACAGACAACAACTGCTTCATTAGGACGAAAATGACTGGCTCAAGCCCACCAGGTAATTACCTACTGTGTCATTATTACTATATTCCAGAAAACATTGATTAATTAATGAAAGTGGTGCCAAAAATGACAAAACCTTATTTTCATACCTGTCATGTTCCTTTGGTCACAAATACAACCCCCCCTTCAGCACCAGGTTTTGTGCTTTTAATGCATGTGGCACTAATCTGGTCTATACATCAGCAGTGAAGATTTGGGGCAGAGTGTAGAAAATATTTGGATTTTTTTCCCCCCATAAGGACAGTATGTGACATCACTTCCTGTTAATGACTTAACAGACCCAGCCTTGGCACAAACTCTAGAAAGTATGGAGTAAACACTCTTAAATAGATCTTTTTAAATAATTGCTAGTCTAGTTTAGTACACTGATCTTCAAACCATTAGATAATAAGTCATTAAATAACCAAATGACCCTGTATCTTGAAAAAGTTAAGTAAGCATGTTCGTTCAAAGACCTCACTGATATTTCTGCATTGTCAATACCCATACCTGTATGACAGAAAGTGATTCATCTAGAATATTGAACGTTTTAAGTCAACATTTTGCACAATAAATAGACTTTGAAACTTTCTTTGAATGTTTGAATACTGCATGTGAGTGCATTGTGAACTTTCATACTGCGGTAGAGTGGACTGCTTGCAGGAAGTGCTCATTGGACTTCATGGTTGTGTCCCTAGCCCCCGTTTCCTTTGATAATTACTACGAGAGGGATGGGCCAGCCCACAGCAATGGCACCCCCCGCATGGGAGGAGGGGGAGGAGTCATGAGGAGGTCAGAGGTCATTTCACCTAACACAGCCTCGGCTCCCTAGAAGTGTCTGATCTATGTAACGACGCTCCCCGGGTTACAAGGCAGTTACGTTCCCATAAAGCTATCATAAGGCAAAAATATCAAAAGGCGAAAATGTATTTTATTACGGTACACCTAACCTAATAAACACCACAGCCTAGCATAGCCTTCCTTAAACATGCTTAGAAGACTTACATCAGCCTACAGTTGGGCAAAATCATTAACACAAAGGCTATTTTATAATAAAGCGTTGAATATCTCATGTATTGTATTGAATAAAGTACTGAAAGTGAAAAACATTTACCAATCGTAAAGTCAAAATATTGTAACACGGACCATCGTAACCCTGGGAGTGTGTGTGTGTGTGTGTGTATATATATATATATATATATATATACGTATAAAATTCATACATGTCCATGAATACAATACTCTTATACAGAATAGTTCACGTAATCATTTTCAGCAATTATGATGTATTAATTTAGTCACTAAAGCCATTTCAGATATCCTGCTTTCCAATTCATGTCAATCAGCGTGAAATTTAATTTTAATTTCTAGGTTTTCTAATCTTTTGCAAAGCAACGGCGGGTCAAGGCTGAATATCGCTGAAGCTTCACAGTCAGCAGGATCATCTAGTGGTCAGTACTAGAGACAATTTAGATGGCCGTCCAATCTACCGCAGCATTTCTCAGCCTTCTCTCGGCCGCAGCAGGCCTTCTCTCTGCCGCAGCAGGCCTTCCATACTGCTACTGTGCCACGGGGTTGTTTGGCTGATAAATCACCTCACCATCAATCTAAGGGATCATCCTGCAACACTGTGGCCAGCACCCACTAAATATTTCTGCCCAGTGAAATTATTCCCAGTTAAACTGTTAAATGATTTCAGAAATGAATTATAATACTAGAAGGAAATAGCTGAAAAAGTCATGTTTGTATCTCTAAAGAGAAACTGAGTATTTTGTGTATCATGTAGTGAGTTTCATTACAGATTTGGTCCTCCTAAGATCTCTCAGCTTAAAAATGGCTTACAGAGTTTAAAATTTGTTGATTGCTGAGTGGTTTTGATGTCCCCTCTGTGTTCATGTCTTACCCCCCCACACTAAGTGACAAACAGATAAAGTTCCTTATTGCTTCCTCTGTTCTTACTCCCCAGGTCAAATGTCGAACATGACGAATGCGTTTGTCGCGGCCGTCAACAAAGAGGCTGAGTACCAAGTCCTGTTTGATTATAGAGCACAGGTCAGTTGCAACACCTGCAGAAGCAAAGAGGTCCCATGGCTGTGGTGTAACACATGGCCACTCATGGGGCTTCAACACCGCACGGCCAGGCCCTGGGGGTGTGATGTAGCTATTACAGAAGACCGCCAGAGTGCTGGGGAGGGGGGCATACAGGCCACTTATGTTGGCCTCTGTTTACAGGACCCGGACGAGCTGACGATTCTGAATGGGGAGAGAGTGATGGTGCTTGAGAGGGGGGAGGACGGCTGGTGGCAGGTGGAGAGGAACGGTCAGGCCGGGCTCGTCCCGGGGTGCTACCTGAGCAAAGCATGATGGGAGCCATGGGAAGGGCTACGCCTCACGCAGTCCGGCCGCCCAATAGCGACGTCAGTCTCTCATCCCCCAGCTACAACAACATAACTTCAGTCTAATGAAACAACACCTTATACATCTTCTGTTTCGTCCATGATCTACAGCTGTAACAGTTGTCAGTCATTTTGTTTTATCGTCTAATTTAAACTTCACAACATTTTTGTCACAAATATTATCTGTGGAAATATTAGCGATGTCTTGAAACTTGAATAGTGATGCTGATTTCTTTCCATGCTAAAAGTGTTTTATTTATTTTGTATATTGCGGTTGGTGAATTACTCATGCAAGGAAAATTATCAACTGAAAATAAAACAAACCAAAGTTCATCATGCCCTGAGACTTTTGAAAACCAGTGGAAGGTAACACCCACTTTGTCCACTACGTTTTCAGGCTCTAACACAAACATATAAGACCTGTATCACTTTCAGATCACATTTTTGTTTTAGAAATTTCACTTCTCTGACAATTTCATCTAAAGAAACTTTACATAACAATGCCAGCAACCATTCACTATAATTTACCAGAGGTGTTAATTAAGTGCCTTGTTTAAACACAGTACTGCAGAAAGTGGCACTCCAATCAGTAACCTATATAAGACTTATATATTTCTAGGAAACTGCAACCAAGGTGCTTTACTAAGGAAATTAAGAATAAAGTCGGGAGGAAAAGGGCTCTGTTCCACAAACGGAAAATAACTAATGATTTCAAAATTAAGCAGGAGTATCTAAGTCTACAGGTTGAGTTACAAAATAACATTAGACTGTCCAAGAGGAATGTAGAAAGAAAAATTGCATTGGAGGCTAAGGATGACAATAAAAGTTTCTTCCAGTACTTTAACTCCAAAAGAGCACTAAAAGCTGAAATCACTAATTTGGAGGATAGTAACGGCATTATAATTGAAAATGAAATTGATATAGTAAATGAGTTTAATGATTATTTTACACGGGTGTTCAAAGTAGAGAACACAAGTAACTTACCTCCAATTAGTACGAATACAGCGTCGTCTATGACCAATATATGTATAACTGAGGCTGATGTGGTACTAAGCCTAGTTAAACTGAAAATAAATAAATCGCAGGGCCTCTGATGACATCTTACCTATAGTTTTAAAATAGATGAGGGATATTATTAGCCAACTTCCAATATAATGCCCATATATTAAAAAAGGGGATAGAAGTAATCCAGCAAACTATAGGCCAATCAGTTTAACTTGCATAACTGGAAAAGGAATGGATGCTATAATCCAAGTGAAAATGGTAGATTACCTGGATTCAAATAACATTCTGAGGGATAGCCAACATCCATTTAGGAGAGGTAGATCCTGTTTAACTAATCTACTTGAGTTCTTTGAGGAAGCTACAAGAGAAATTGATCACAAAAAGGCCTACGATATGATCTATTTAGATTTCCAGAAGGCCTTTGATGTTGTCCCCCGCAAACGGCTTTTGCGTAAGCTCTGAAGAGAACACCACAAACAACTGGGGACTGTTAACTTTCGGACTGAAGAGAAGCCATTGTGTTGCACTGGAGAAATGCCGCTCTTATCGTGAAGAATAATAATAATGAAGACCCGAGGTTGGATCACTTAAAAAAAATTGTGCTGTTCACGTCAATATGGGCAAACTGTTGTTGTTGGTGTTAACTGCAAGTCCAACTGAAACAAAACCAAAATCAACTGCCCCAGAAATGTGCACAATTTAACACCATCGGTTAGCCACAAGCATGCTAACTGATACAAAGAATGCCATTTTCTCAGACACAATGATAGGTCTACATTTATTTTATTGAAAGAGGTCTGACTTATTTACAGTAATAACATCACATTATTTTATTCTACACAACTATTTGTTAAACTTAATTTCTCACACAAACTTAATTTCTGCACACAAAAGAAAACTATTAAACAATAATAATTCACCTCTGACTGGAATACACAGTGCATAGATTATTCCCAAATTCCATTCACATATTGTTTACAGGACCCTCAAGTTAATCACTCAGAAAACAGTCAGAAAGTTTTGAGCAGAAGTCTGTCTATAAGGATGTTAGGTCATGTTATTACTCAGAAAGTGACATCGGCAACGGGCTGAAACCAACTCTGCAGTGGGAAAACAAAACCCAATAAAGGACAAAGGGGTATTTACAGCTCGTACTGGGTGCTTACAAAATGTCTTCAAAACCTACACATAGTGCAAACTAATAAGAAAGAACATCACCCCCTTATTTTCTGTTTGCCATGCTTCATAAAACACAGGACAAAAAAAGGTCATTGCTATTTATGCTTAAGATCTTGTGAAGACTGCAATATCAACTAAAAAGGCATGGCATGAATAGTGTATTGCTGCCTCACCCAACAGCAGTGCACAGTGGTAGCTATCCTGCGCTGTGCACGGCGCGCTTTAGCTTATGGTGGCAGGAAGCCCACGCGGTCACATGGCACGGAGCTCCCTAGGCGTACGTCCCCCCGGTGATGAGCAGCTCATACGCCGGGTCACGGCTCCGGCGGCACAGAACCACGCAGGCACACAGCATCCCAAGCATCTGCGGCAAAGAACCAGCAGCTGCGTTAAAACCTGCGACATGCCGGCTCATGGTCCGGTTGCAAGTTTAATGCATGATTGCATCGCACTAAATACATATGATAGTGGACAAATACATTCTTCAAAAATACTCTTCATAAGCTAATTTGGCAATAATTATGTTGAACATTATTGACAAGGTTGCTGTTCACCAGACACTTCAAAGCTACAAGACTCACAATATTACATTTAAAGATGTAAATATATAATGTATCTCAAATAATGAAAATATCAGGCTGATGGGCAGGTTTGTAATTATATACACGTTGTGTCTTTAATAAAACAGACCTGCCATTTCAAACCACATACATTTTAAACAAATACAAATATATACATGGTACACATACCATGAAGTGGGATTAGTGCTGGGCGGTATGACCAAACATTTGAATCAAACGTTTGTTGTTTGTATATTGAGTTATACTATATATGGAGAATTGTCATTATAAAGTTATCACTGTTAGAAAAAAGGGTGTACATAATTACCAGGGGTCCCCTCTCAATACACTCATAATGCTTCTAGCAGTGAACAATATTATATAATTTGCTGCCTATTGAAGCATTACAGCCGTTGTTTCAGCTATGCTACAATATGGCGGTATATAAAAAATTCATACCGTACTGGAAATTAAATCCGGTATATGGCCCAGCATTATGTGGGATCATAATTTATTTGTAAACAGATTTACCTGTATCGCGGCAAACGTCAGAGCTGCCCAGATAACATACATCATGATCTGCTTCAGTTTCTTCACCACAAGAGCTTCACATCCCTGGACAAAGAAAATGCTGTTAATTTCACTTTATTCGTATTCTGGTGATACTGAATCCAAAATTCACAAGGATAAAAGAAACACAGTGATTGCAACATCATAACCTGTGGCTCCAAACGAGTCAGAATATACAGTAAGTATATGGAGGTGTCAGCAGTCATGATTTTTAAGGAGAGCATTTCCTTTGTATGAGTAGCCTTATTGTAAAGTGGCACCAGCTTTGATGTAGTTGGGAAATGCAAGAACACTAATAACACCATGGTGGAACAACTGTACACTGGGCCCTGGGGCATTATGGGGCTTCCACCATAATGTGGTAGGTGACGAGCATGTGCACCCACCACATGACAAACCACTGACAACCTGAGTACTGCCGTGCAGCATCAGATGGAACGGTGTGAGTTTTTTCCAGTGCCTAAAGCGTCAATCCTGCCACTAACCCCCAAATTTTCCCTGGAAGTTGGAGGACCTGCTTGCAGGGCCAGATGTAGGTTAACATCATACCCAGGATGAAGCAAATGCAGGTTAAGGGCCTTGCTCAAGGGCCCAACAGAGCAGAATCGCTCCAGGCATTCACGGGATTTGAACCAGCAACCTTCTTATTGCTGGCACAGATCCCTAGCCTTACAGCCACCACTCCATCCGTAATAATGAGATTGCATACATAAAAATGAGAGATGCATGTCACAAGTCCATATAAAATGCATAACATCAGTGCTGGGGCAGCTGCCCTGGTTGCCCCGCCTACCAGTCCGCCCCTGAACCTAAAGCTGGCATGAGAACCCCAGGTGGTGAAGCTCACCAAGACCGTCATGGGGACGGCTCTTAACTAGCACCCACCTCCTGGTAGAGGTCTCCGGGGCGGCTCAGAGAACCGCTACAGTTGCTGACACTGGACTTGCAGCAGCTGACCGGAACGCTGTTATTTCTCGACTCCTTGAACCAGCGGGTATTCCTCCAGTCAGAGTAGTTATGAATTCCACAGCAATAAAGCTGTCATGAAAAGGATACTTTTAACATGGAGATCCACCAGTGAAACAGGAGGCATGTCACAAAGACAGTAACAGGTGATTTAGATCCTCCTACCTGCCTTTGTACATAATCAATGGCACGGCTCGGAGCATCGGTGTTTGTCCCATTGTACTCATTGTACACCTTATGAATAGAGCGATCTACTTCATCTTCCACCTGCAAAAAATATATAATCTGCTCATCTTAACACAACGATATTATATTAAAGGTGCACCATGGGAGTAAATTACAGGGAGGATGGAGGTGGGTTGTAACCACCCCCCCCCCCTCAATAATCATGTCTCTGCCTAAATGGGTGGAGACCTTATCCCTTCCAATGTTCAAACCAAAGTTGCACCCTTGGGTCGCTCAATCCCACAAGCGCCACACGGGCATTGCTGTAATTCACGTCGCTACCACTAGAGGCATTTGTGACGCATGTACAGCATCGCTAAATTCAAGCAATTGTTTAGGGGCTGAATATGATGGTGAAAAGTCAAATAACCTTAGCGACCATCCAGAGAAGACTTACCGTAAGCAATGAACTATCTTTAACATATCAATTTTTGCCAGAGAAAAAAACTCGTTCTTGACAGTATAAACGTACAAAAAACTGATTATGAACCACAATATAATCAGGGAGAAGTATTAATTTTATCAGATAAATCCCACCCAATGGCAAAAAAGAAAAGATTCCATTACAGAGGTTTCTGCATTTAAATTAAAAACTCCAACACAGATCAAAATGTCGTAAAAGACTTACCTTTGCTCGGTAAATATAGCCAAGAACGACAACAACTACTTCTGTAACAAACACCAGGAGGAGAATGACGACAAACTAGGGAGCAGAGAGACATTTTATTAATAACATTTAGAAAAAGGTTGGAGCCAGTTTAGAAACAGACAGTTGTGTGGACAGATACTACAATTGCAATGTGATTAGTCTTGCAAGTGTGGTGTAGC